ACCAAGACCTCTCCCCTGCCACGCTAGAAGCGCGACGAGCCCTCAGACCCATAACAGCTGCCCTCAGGGAACGCAATATCCCATATAAATGGGGCTTCAGCATACAGGTGCGCCACCAAAATGAGTGGGTAGCCGCATGCTGGCCAGATGAAATCCCACGTTTCCTGCAGCATTTGGATTTACCACCTATAGCTGTGCCGGACTGGATCCTGGAACCACTGGATAGGGAACCCAGACCCCAGAGGCCATCACGGCGAACAAGGAGGGATTCCAGGGAGAACCACCCGGGCGTCATACCCCCCCACCCGACTAATCCAGAAGAATAGCTGGCTGCAGCCTGGAACAAGCCCACCCGTGACCTGATGGCCCGGCAGGCCTACACGAGAAGGAATACTAGTGAAAGGCTGCCCATAACCTACAGCGATTCGGGTAGGCACCTGGCCTACCACTTGTAATTTTTATTCTTTTTCTTTTATTATTTCTCTTTTGTCTCTTTGGGTGGGGGACGGGAATAGATTTACCCGTACTGCCACCATGGACCGGGTGGGAGGCTTCCTCGTCCCACAGCGGAGATCAAGATACTGGTCTGTCACTCCCACATGCCTCTCCTACGGTGACTTGGTCCCCAATTGCCCCCATGTATTTTCCTTTTTCTTCCTCCTAGAACTGTCCGGGCTGTTTTGGGAGGAGAACCTTGTACGGGCATTACTAGCTTGGAGGGGCTCTGCCACCTGAGGAGTTAGGCTGAAACCAGCACGGGCATGGGACGTCTGCCTTCTGCACTACCGCCACCTACACCTGAACCCTCCAAGCTGTCGGATACACCTGGACTGCCCACACCTGGCTGATTGGCTGAATGCAGGACACTCCACGACAGGTTTATGCGGGTGTGGGGGGTGGGGAGAGCAGGGGGCGGAGGGGGGATTGAGAAGCTCAGTGTACAGGGGGATAAAGGGGGGGGCATACATGAATCTATTCTATAATAAATAACCCCCCCCCCAAAAAAAAAGGAAGGGGGGGGAGGTAGAGGGGAAAAGGGGAGAAATGGGACACAGGAATACAAAGGGAAAATAGCAAAAAAAAAAAAAAAAGGAACGATAAACAGATAACAATTCCCCGCAGGGGTGTGATGGGGTGGAGGGGGAAGAGGGGCAACCCTGGGAACTGTGAAATATATACAGGCTTTTATTTAACCAACTGTCTCAAGCCCAGGCGTACATGCTAAGGGAGGAATGTAATGTATATTATGCATTTGACCATGTACATATATACAGGCATTTATATACCTGGCTGTCTCAAGTTTAGACATCAATGCGATAGGTGAAATCTCATATATGTTATGCATTTTCCCGTGTGACATATCTGCACCTTCCCCACACAGAAAATGCTGCACGAGCTGCTGCTGGTGACGGTGGCATGGCTCCTCCCCCGACACCCCCATGCTGCACTGGACCTTACGATGAGCATTGGACGCACCCAACTTGACCAGCTGACACCCCTGTCTACGAGCCTTAGTCCCCCAGCCCGAAGTTATGTTGTGCTCCCGGCCCGCTCCACCACACAGCAATACATGACGACCTACACTGACTCATACTGCCCCCACAGAAGACTGTGATATAGGCAAGGTTAGCCCCCGCCAAAACCACACTGTGCTCCTGCTAAAAAGACGATGTACGACCCCCCATCATTGAGGACTACTTAGGACGACGATACAACTCACTGTATACACTAATCCACGTAAGTGACATATGACTAATGACGAGGTGGCGGAGCATCCGTAGGTTGCCCGCAACACTAATTTAACTCTTCACACAGAAGAGGAATCACCCAGGGTGGTGATGCTTGCCGGACACACCCACTAACCCCGAACATACTCGTGTGAACAAACCCTTCCCACGGGGAAATGGTAGTTGGACTTGTTCTAGCGGACCCGACTGTCGCTTGCCGCCGTGGTCACACGAAAACACCCTCCTAGGAGGGTTCCTTTACACCTGCATATAGGTGTAATTGCCGTCTCTCGTCAGAGGTGAGCACTCTAAATCTAATTTCCTAACTTCAATTCTAACTGAGGTAACGTCGTTTGGAGGGGGAAGGGGAGTTGAGTGGTGATTGTTGTCCCCTCCATTCGCTCAAGCTATCTCTTAAAACCTCCGCCCCCCCCCTTTGTTTTTTGTTTTTTTCTTTCTCTTTTATCCCCCCCTCTCGTTCCTCGCTCTCTCTCCGCCCCCCCCACCCGTGCGGGTCACGAGGCTGCGGTCATGGCCCCTCGCCCTCTCACGTTCTACGAGCCCGACCCATACCGAATCTTATCCTTGAACTGCCACGGTCTTAACATCCCAGAGCGTAGGATGCAACTCCTACGTGACCAAACGCCAGACGTATATCTATAGCCTTCTTACAAGAGACGCACTTCAAGGAGGGTGCAGCCCCAATGCTGAAAAGTAAGCACTATCCCAACGCCGCCTGTAGTAACCACCCCACGGCCTGCAGGGCGGGGGTGGCTATCCTCCTAGAGGCAAAGCTACAATTCCGCGAAGCGGACCGACTCTCGGATGCAAATGGCAGGTACCTATTCCTTAAGGGAGATATTCAAGATAGATGATACACTTTCGCTACAATCTACGTCCCGAACAATAACCAAGCCCAATACATACGCAAATCCCTCCTCAAGCTCTCCTCCTTTACGGAGGGAACCTTGATCCTAGGAGGAGATTTCAATTAGGGGCACACTAATACACCTAGCTTCCAAAAAGAGAAAATAATCTCAACGACAAATAACCGACCTTGTGGAGCGCATATCTACACTCGAGGCACGACATAAGAGATCACACCTCGAGTCGACATCCGCGGAGCTACTGGAAGCCCGGAGACAGCTTCAAACACACATGATGAACCGTCACTACCGTTCATTGCAACGCTCAAAGGCCTTCTTTTACCAACATGCTAACAAAGGCGGGAGGCTACTGGCCAGGATACTTAAAGGTCCACAGGGACTAGCCCAGGTCAACAGACTACGGCAAGCTGATGACACAATTACACAATTTCCAGATAAGATCGCCTCGTAATTCCGGACATTCTATTCCTCACTGTATAATATCCCGCAACCGACACAACCAAATGAGATAGCGGATAGGAACTATATCGAAACCTATGTGGGGACGAGTTTGCAGCAAGGGGAATCGGAGGACTTGGAGGTACTGATCACGGAGGCGGAGGTGGCGGGAGCGATCAAAGCGGCTAAAACAGGTCGAGCGCCAGGTCCAGATGGCTTCACCCTAGAATATTATAAGAAATTACAACACTTCTTAATCACAAAACTTACTAACACATTTAACGCTCTCATCAAGGACGCTCAGCTCCATCAGGAGTCACTGGCGGCTACCATCACGGTTCTCCCGAAACCAGGGAAAGACCCCGAACTATGCAGCAGCTATAGACTGATCTCCCTGCTCAATGTGGATGTAAAACTGCTGACAAAGATACCGTCCACCAGGATCGGAGGCCTACTGCAGAATCTGATCCACCCAGATCAGACGGGATTCATACCCGGACGTGAGGCCAGAGATAGCACTCTTAGAGTCCAATCCATCCAACACCTGGCGAAGCGGTCAAAAGACAACCTCCTATTGCTCTCCACGGATGCCGAGAAAGCGTTCGACCGGGTAAACTGCTCATTCCTTATGGCTACGCTACGGGAGATAGGCTTTGGGGAGAACATAATGAAGTGGATAGGAGCGCTATATCATTGCCCAAGTGCCAAAGTAAGAGTGAACGGAGCACTCACCGAACCCTTTCAGATCCGGAACGGAACATGGCAGGGATGTCCGCTCTCTCCTATGCTCTTCGCCCTCTCCCTTGAACCATTCCTGGAAATGGTGCGCAGATCAGATGAGACCCTAGGATTCTCCGACAAAGACACTACTCACAAAGTTGCGGCGTATGCGGCCAATCTCTTATTTATTATCAACAAACCTGAGACCACCCTACCTCACTTGATGTCGGCATTTGAGACCTATGGGGAGATATCGTGATTTAAACCGAATATACCTAAATGCGAGGTACTTAACATCTCAACCTCGCCAACACAGGTCGACGTACTGAAGCACCAATTCCCATTCAGATGGTGCCCGACCCACATGCAATACCTGGGCATCGCCCTTAACAGGGATCTGGGAGACATGTATCGGACAAACATCCTACCCTTACTACAAAAAATACAACGAGATTTACAGACGTGGTCGTACCCATATATCTCGTGATTCGGCCGCATAGCTATCCTGAAAATGAACATACTGCCCCGCATTGGCGGATCCAGGGGGGGGGCAACGGGGCAATTGCCCCCCCCAAGATTCCCCCCTGCCGGCTAACGCAGGGCTGGCATTGCCCAAGTGCCAGCCCTGCAATGTGCCTGCGGACCGGGGAGGAAGATCAGAGATCTCCCTCCCCGATCCGCAGGTACCGTGCTGACAGCCGGCGGCGGAGGGAGGGAGTGAGAGAGAGGACCCGGAGCTCAGTCTGTAGCTCCTCCAGGTCCTCCTCTCTCGAGATTTGGAGCGTTGCCGCGGTTACCACGGCAACGCTCCAAATCTCGCGAGAGTGAACTCTAGCCCTGGAGCGCGGGCTAGAGATCACTCTCCCCACTGGGACCACCAATGAATCCCCACCGGACCACCAGGCACCAAGAAATGTCCCCCCTCCACCCCAGTAAAGGTAAGAAGGGAGGGGGGACATAGAATATTTATTTTTATTAAATAAAAAATTTTTTTATTATTTAAAAGCCTCCTCCCCCCCCATTACACACACTGCCCCCCATTAAACACACTGCCCCCCCATTACACACACTGCCCCCCATTACATACACTGCCCCCATACACACACTGCCCCCCATTACACAAACTGCCCACCCATTACATACACTGCCCCACACACACTGTCCCCATACACACATACACTGCCCCCCATTACATACACTGCCCCCATACACACACTGCCCCCCATTACACAAACTACCCACCCATTACATACACTGCCCCACACACACTGTCCCCATACACACACTGACCCCCATGCACACACTGCCCCACAAACACTGTCCCCATACACACACTGCCCCACAAACACTGTCCCCATACACACACTCTGCCCCACAAACACTGTCCCCATACACACACTCTGCCCCACAAACACTGTCCCCATACACACACACTGCCCTCACAAACACCTCCCCCATCCACACACTGCCCCACAAACACTGTCCCCATACACACACTGCCCCCCATACACACACACTGCCCCACACTGTCCCCATACACACACTGCCCCACACTGTCCCCCATACACACACTGCCCCCACAAACACTGTCCCCATACACACACTGCCCCACAAACACTGCCCCCCATACACACACTGCCCCCCATACACACACTGCCCCACAAACACTGTCCCCATACACACACTGCCCCACAAACACACACTGCCCCACAAACACTGTCCCCATACACACACTGCCCCACAAACACTGTCCCCATACACACACACTGCCCCAAAAACACATACAGTGCCCCCATACATACACTGCCCCTAACACACACACTACAACCCTGACATACACTGCCGCACTCACACACTTCACCCTTAACACACACCACTGCTCCTATACCCTATATCCCAGCAGACCCCAGATAAGTTGTCAAACTGTTCTTAAACGGTATGACTACTTACTCTGGGGTGGAATCCTGGCACTACTGACACCATAACTACTACACTGAGCTGTAGTGGTTATTGTGCCTGGATTATTTAATTAAATAATCTACAAGTGCCCCTCCCGAGATCAGGCTCTGGATCCGCCACTGCTGCCCCGGATCCTATACCTCGACCAAACGATACCTCTAGCCCTATCGACAGCGTACTTTCAATCGCTCTGGACTGCTATGCTACGATTCGTGTGGAGTGGGGGACAGGCGAGACTCAGACAGGAAATCCTATGCCTGCCTCGAGCGTGGGGTGGAACAGCACTCCCGGATCTCCGCAAATACCATCATGCTACAGTGTTACAATGGGTCTTGGAATGGCATACTCACCCAGCACACAAACAATGGATTGAACTAGATAAGAATCACATGGGGTCGTCACTTCTCACTACAGTATGGAACTCAAAGAGACCCCCGACGACGCTCCAAGACTGCACCTCCACTGTGGCTCAGACACTAAAAACATGGGACAGCATCAGAAGAATCCCACAGCTGTCTCCAACACCGAGCCCGATAATACAGCTTTTATATAACCCTCAAATAGGAGGTGGGCTGCCGCCGACATCTTGGAGTATCCTAGGTGTGGGAGAATCCCTCCCCATCCATAAGATGCTGAATTACACAGGCATGGTTCCACTACGGGAATTGATAGACAACGACCAACCGTCCGCAATGCAAATCTTCCGCTACACACAAATCAAATATTTCTACCAAACCCTATCGCACAGAGAAGCTCTGGACAGGGACCTGACGTGGTTTGAGGCACTCTGTGACCAAAGGACCAACTTAGCCAAGTCCACATCCCTCATTTACCAACACCTCCTTATCGGTCACCTGTAGAACGCGGACACCTTTCGCCGACACTGGGAACGTACCCTGGATACATCTTTCACCGCAACTCAATGGGAAAAGATCTTGGTCCTACACCACAAAAGCTCCTCTAGCTCCAACTATCATGAAACCAATTATAAGCTCCTATCGTTCTGGTACAGGACGCCCGACAGCCTGCACAGGATCTTCCCGGCGGTGCCAGCTACATGCTGAACGATCCTACATATCTGGTGGGAATGCCCACGCATCACGCCGTTTTGGGACGAGGTCAAGCGACGAACGGAGGAAATACTGGGGTCGGACGGCAGGTTCGACAGAGAGGCAGCTCTCCTACACTCTACAACGGACACCATCGGGGTATATAGAAAATCTATACTCCGAAACCTGTTGAAAGCCGCCAAGGCTCTGATCCCACTACACTGGAAGCAAGATGTAACCCCGACGATTGGATTATGGATGGAATGGGTGGAGGAGATATACAGGGCGGAATTGATCCATGCCTCATTGATCGGTATGGAGGAGAAACATGTTGAGAGGTGGCGGCCGTGGCTGACTTACGTGGTGGGGTGGGGTGTGGGTGCCGGGCGGGCGGGCAGGAGCGTGGCCTGTGAGGGGTACCCCCCCCCGCGCCCCAGGGCGGGTGACACCGCACTACACGGAACACCACGGAGCCAAATCTACCACGGGCACGACGAGAGTGCTCCCCGAGATCCCCCCCCCTTAACCCCCCCTTTTTTTTATTTCTTTTTTCTCTCTCTCTCTCTCTCCCTTTTCTCTTCCTTCACTCTCTTCCCCAAACCCCCCCTGTTTCCATGTTCTCCTTTCTACACCACTTGCTCTCTTTCCCTACCCCCACGCAACAGTCTGACCTCATTGACCGTGCACACTAGTTCAACACCAGTCAAACGGGAGGGTATGGCAAGCTTGGGCCTCAGGTGCTATACGAATGCTCCGCTAACTAGTTACTGCTCACTATTATAGACTGAACCAACAGATTACACCGCCCGCACGACAAAACAGGACCCGCGCGAGGAGTGCACGGCCAAAGGCAATAAGACACAATGGAAACCCACTATTAATCAATATTATATGGGACGACGAGTCCCATCTACGAACTAAACCTTCAGGTTAGCTACACCACAGACGTAATGGCCCCTATACGCCTAGAAGATACTCCTAGGCTATATGCAACCACTATGATGACAGGCGAATCTGGCCCATGCACTACACAGTCACTACCTGGCTCATCCAGAGGTGACACACTCACCTCTTAATGTACGACCATAAGATGCAAATGTTTGTATATTTAATACATGTAACATAACGAAGTTACCGATACTGATACTATACTACCTTCTAATTGTTAATATTGTTTTGGTTCTCATTCCTTTATAATTGTATGGCTGCTCCCGATTTTGCGAGACCTGCGTGTCTCCTATTTTGCCATCCTATCGCACTGTTGTACATTTTCGATGACACCAATAAAAGCCGTTTGATAAAAACTGTTTCATTAAGCTAAAGTTGTTTTGGTGACTAAAATTTCATCAGAGTAATGTTGCTTGATAGCTTGATAAAACTACTTTAATTTCTCAAGCCATTTTGTTAATGGGGAAGTACTAATAGCCTCTGTCTGTAACAGACTGGGGGCAGATGCAGGGGAAGATAAGCAGAGCTAATCTACGATAGATTCAACACGTCTCAGTTAAACTGTTCATTGGTGGTTTAACCTCGATGGTAAGTCTTGCTATAGGTTGCTATGGAGCCTGGATTCTTCCTTTGAAGAAACACTGTAATGTTATATATTCCTAATACTATAGTGTTGGACTAACTTTTTAGGTCCCTGGCCCACCTCAGAGTGGAGCTAAAAGGTTTTAAACATACATTTTCTCCATCACCGCGCCTGTCTCACCGCAGCCGACCCCGCCTCTATGGCTGAGATCACCAATCTTGTGATTTCAGCCAACACAATGCTTTCCTGAAACTATTGCGCATGTGCGGAAAAATGCTGTGCTGTGCTAATCAGCATCTCCTTATAGAGATGCATTGAATCAAGGCATCTCAATGGGGAACGTTCAGTGTCTCCTTGCAGAGTATGGTGTGCCTTTTAAAAAGTGATATCATGTTAAAGCCCAATTTATAATCTGAACCATTTTGCCCATCTTCTGTTACAAATGTTTTACAATCTCCATTTAGTTTACTTTCTAGCACAATTAGTCTACTTTCAATCTTTCTCTGAAAAGGCAGCATTTACATTAAAAAGCCTGGAGGGACAGACTATAGACACCAGAATAACAACATTTAGCTATAGCAGTTCTGATGACTGTAGTGTCTCTTTAAGCTGCCTTTAGCGACTGTCACTTACAGCCACTGAAGGTGCTTCTGTAAACTAGGAGAGTAAAACTCTTCAATTTCAGTCAGACGGTCTCAGGTAGACCATTATATTGGCATAGCACAGTGTTTTGCCACACATGCACAGTAGCCTCCTAATGCTTTCCAAAGGGAAACCTTTGGATTGGCTGAGACCATCAATCTCACTGCTCTCAGCCAAAACAGTACAGTACAGTACAACATGTGTATACTCATGCATATAAAAGATGCACTACACAGATGCTGAAATGCATACATTCTAGGAGATTTGGACACCTGTACAATCTGTCTTAGAATGATAAATGAGGGGAGAGGAGTCTGACCTTTGAGCCGTACAACAGAGGTTCCTGCAAGGTGGTTTTGTCCATCAAGCCACAAAACTATCAAGCCACAAAACTATCCCAAGTCATGGGTTCCCAGGTAAGTTTCCAGATTCTTAACCCAAAGCTCTACACTGCATTGAACTCAGGAAAATCTGTTGTGGCCTGCTGGGGATAGAGCAGAGGTGGCTGATCTCCTCGTTCATTTGTTTGCTGAATGGACCCACAATACTGGTACCCTCACAGACCAGCAGAGAATATCCAATAGTACATACAAATTGCTGCAAGTTAGACTCTTGATGTGCCCGGAATATACAAGATAGTGGATGCCTGTTTCTCTGACTTCTTTAGCCTGGTTCCTTCCCAGAAGACTTAAGGAGACTCCATCAAATACTTCCACCTGCAGCTTGATAAGCTTTTTCAACACTTCTGTGCAAAGCTGTGGAAAGGCATCCAATCCAATTTGCCCAGGTGGTGGGTAGGTGACGAGAGAGGAGAGCAGCCAGAAACAGGAGGGTCCCCTACTATTGGCCTACCTGGGCTGAAGGTACTAGCCTCTTCACATTGTCCACGCAGACGAAAGATGACTTGAAAAAAGTGACGGTTACCACCACGTTCCTTCAGCTATCCCCTGTGAGGGAAAGACCTGGTCTTTGGAAGCACCTGAATCTGTGGTCCAATGATGCAGGTCCCCACATAGGCCTGGGGCTGGATGGGAGCCCCATACCAGTACTGCTTTGCAGTAATGTCTATTGACTTTCAAGGACATTTTTCTGTCCTACCACTTGGAGTCAGCTGATGTGATAACAGGTCTTTACCAAAGCTCAACACGGATTTGATATTGGCGGACGCCATTTTCTTTATAATAATGCAAATCATTATTGTCCCTTATGTTGATACCCTTTGATTTCCTTTCATTTTATTGCTGCTGCAACATATTGAAAAGCCTACGTCCACTGGTTATACCTCTTGCTTATCACCATGTCTACTTGGTTTCCTGAGACACAAGCTCACCTAGCAAGTTTGTGGCTATTGTACTAGCCGCTAGCCTTGCTT